ATGTTAGGACCCAATCTTTATTATTTTGTAATAAATTATCAATTTGTGTTTTATTATAGGGGGTAATAAGTATTTTGAACTCTTGTCTAAATAATTTTTTAGATCTTTGTTTCCCTTTTGTTATTAATAAGGAACACATATAAGGATAATCTGTTAACATTTTTGATTGTGTATGAGGAAGATGTAACCATTTTAATATCCCTTGTTGCCAAAGGCAAGAAGTTTGAATATAATATGTAGCAAAGATCAACAATGGCCAATATTTAGTATAATCTAATTGCTTTACCCTAGCTTTATTTAAAGCTTTTTTAACTATAAATATAGCTTGTATAGCCTCAGGCGTTAATATTCTTGATGACTTTGGATTAGGATCTCTATGTAGTAAGGCAAACAAAGGACTTAATGCCCCTGTAGTTATTTTTAAATATGGCCTTATTTAATTAATATCTCCTAACAATTTTTGAAAATCATTTAATGTTTTTAATTTATCTTTTCTTATTGTTAATTTTTGTGAATTAATATAATCATTATTTATGTGATGTCCTAAATAACTTATAGGTTTATTTTTTTGTATCTTTTTTGGGGCTATTATCAACCCAAAGGTAGTCAGCTGCTTTATAATTTTTTTTAATAACATATCTAAAACTTTTTTATCAGGATTAGCCAATAATATATCATCTATATAATGTATTATATAGGAGGAATTGAATTTTTCTCTTATATTTTTTAAAGCCTGATCAACAAATTTTTGACACAATGTAGGACTATTTTTTATACCCTGTGGGAGAGTCACCCACTGATAACGTCTAAAAGGCTGTTTAAAATTTACTGAGGGTACACTGAAGGCAAAATGTTTACTATCTTTAGGATGTAAGTGGATAGTAAAGAAGCAGTCTTGTAAATCTATTACTATTATTTCCCATCCTTGGGGGACTGACATTGGGGATGGCAACCCTGGTTGAAGAGCTCCCATGTCTTTTATTACTGTATTTATTGCCCTTAAGTCTTGTAATAACCTCTATTTTTTAGATTTTTTTTAATCACAAATACTGGGGTATTCTATGGACTATTAGACTCTACTATATGTCCCTTTTTCAATTGTTTTTGTACTAGTTGTTCCAGAGCCTGTATCTTTTTTTCTGTTAGGGGCCACTGACTCACCCATACAGGCTCCTGAGTAAGCCATTTAATTTTGTCAGTATATAGCCCTTTAGCAGTGGCCCCTATGAAAAATTTTGATGGCTCAGCTGATCTGAGGTCACCAATTTTACATTTATAGAGTATAAGATGTCTCTTCCCCACAATGTAAAGGGGAGAGAGGGAAGTACATAAGGTTGTATAAGTCCCTCTTTTCCATCATAATTCCATTTTAAATGTGCAGAACTTTGTATCACTCCTGAGGCTGATCCCAATCCCATCAAGGAGGATCCTGTTTTATGTACTGGCCAACTTGCAGGCCAGTCAGAGGCAGAAATGCATGTCCTGTCTGCCCCTGTGTCGAGTAAGCCCTTAAATCCTTTTCCATTTAATTTTATAATTTTAAAAGGACGGTTTCCTAGGTCCTGGACCCAGAGAACTCCATCAGTGGATCCAAATTGGCCCTGACCTCTCTCTATTTTCATGACTTGATTAGGTAATTTTATATAGGGCAACAGTAATAACTGTGCTATCCTTTGTCCTTTATGTATTTGTATAGTCTCTGATAAAGGCCTAACCATTATTTTTATGTCACTCTTAGTATCTGTATCTAATACACCAGGAAGTACTTTAAAATTCCTCTGATAATTAGAACTCCTTT